TGTACATGTACATGTGCATGTGCATGCACATGTACATGTGTAATTGGCTTACGTTATTTTGTACACTATGGCGTCTTGCTCATCTGAGGGTTAGAAGGGAAAACAAAGAAAGTGAAATTAATTTAAGAGGATTAGACTTACTATTTAAGGTTCCACTCTCTTTTGCTTTCTTGAAATATTTAACAATTGAGTAGCCACAGATGTATACACACATGCACAAGAGGAGACTAATCTAATAGAGAGAGGAAGAGAGAGAGAGAGAGAGAGAGAGAGAGAGAGAGAGAGTGAGTGAGAGAGAGAGAGAGAGAGAAAGAGTGAGTGAGAGAGAGAGAGAGAGAGTGAGAGAGAGAGAGAGAGAAAGAGAGAGAGAAAGAGAGAGAGAGAGAGAGAGAGAGAGAGAGAGAGAGAGAGAGAGAGAGAGAGAAAGAGAGAGAGAGAGAGAGAGAGAGAGAGAGAGTGAGAGAGAGAGAGAGAGTGAGTGAGGCTGACATGTAGTACTATTGCTTCTTGCACAAACAAACACAGATAATGTATAATGTATACATGTACGTTTGTAAATGCACATGTAACACAAAATAGGTACATAAGTAAATGTACATGTATATGTGTCAGTCAAATCTGTCTATTCCGGACAACTTGGGACCATAATATTGTCCTGATTATAGGTGTCCTTATTCAAAATAGGCAGGCTTGACAATACATGCACAAGGCTACTTATGATAGATGCGTATTTATGATAAATACATGTACATGCACTATACGTGTATATTGTAGAAGGTGTTTATGGCTATGTTGAAGAGGTACTAAACAGGAAGTGATTACATACTATCTATACACCACAGCTAACCACAATAATAGAAGCATTATGAATACTATCAGGGAATCATCTGACTCTGAACTTGGCAGGCATAACTTACAACACTGCCATATTAAAAATACATGTACATGTACTTGAAATGTACCAAACACAGCTCCCACATCTTTAATTGGATTAATCATTGTTTACTGGTTTTATTAGCTACATCAGCAAACATGTAGTTATTTCAAGAGAAAAGCAATGAGAATGTCATCAATGAAATACAGACAAAAGAGTTCATTAAAATACATGTGTACATTGTAATTCGAGTATCATTGCTCTAGTTATCTTACCACGCATTCCCTCACGAAACTGTAGAAGGCTCTCTGCTCTTCTGGATCGACTAATATATCAGGGTCTTCTATTGTTAGCGAGGAAGAAAGAAGCACATTCTCTTTCTCCTCCATCAGTCACCTCTCATGAAGAGGAGGCGTGTCACCAACCACGCCTTCAAAATGCAACTTCCTAGTTCCGCGCCAAAACCCGCGACATAACCTCTGTCTCCCTGGCAACCGATAAACAAAATGGCGGGCAATGACACCTGTGTCAATGGACTATGGGAAGACGGTGTATGCGTGTGTGATCCTAGATATGAACTTGGT